TGCGGCAATTAAACGCGAAAAAAGGGCTTACTTGGAGTTTATTATCAGTCGAAACAAATCTACCAAAACACTTTATAGGGAACTAGATAAACTAAATATCTACAGCAAAAGTAACAAAACTGATACCCTGCCCGAGAGCCTGCTTCAGCTGGACTCGATTAATAGGTATTTTGTGGAATCGTTTCAAACAACTGACGCACCCGACAATGCCACTCTTACTCAGTTGTCTAATAATGTTAGAAACAATGTCAGTAATTTTAAATTTGTATTTGCTACTGAGGAGGAGGTGCTTTCTGCAATGCAGACTATCAAGTCTGGAGCTATCGGTGCCGATGGGATTAGTATTGAGATGCTGCTGAGGTGCTCTTCGCATATTGTCAAATACATAACTCACATAATAAATTATTCTATGGAGGTCAGTACTTTTCCAAATGAATGGAAAATCGGTCATATTATACCTTTACCTAAAATTAAAAAACCAATCGAAATCAAGGATCTCCGACCAATCAGCATCTTACCCGCGCTTTCGAAGATTTTTGAAAAAGTTTTATGTAAGCAAATTAAAGCACATTTAAATGACAATTCAATTATTCCGTCAAAGCAGTCCGGGTTCAGGCAAAATTACGGTTGCGCCACGGCACTATTAACAATTGTTGATGATATTTTGGCAGCAAATGATAACGATATGGTTACCACACTTGTTCTATTAGACTATTCGAAGGCCTTTGATAGAATTAACCACCAATTGATGGTTGCAATTCTTCACAATATTGGATTTCAGCCAGACGCCTTGAACTTGATGAAGAGCTACCTCTGTGATAGAATTCAGCTGGTTAAATACAACCAGAACTATTCCATTCCTCTCAGATGCATTAGCGGGGTCCCACAAGGTTCAATCTTAGGGCCTCTTTTATTTATAATATATACGTCATCCTTTCATAATTGCCTAAAGTATACTAAAAGTCATTTCTATGCAGACGACACCCAAATATATCTATCATGCCATAAAGATGAAATATTGCAATCTAATTATCGTATCAACTACGATTTAAATTCGTTATATGAGTTGTCACATAATTATTGTTTATCGTTAAATCCTTCAAAGTCTCGCGTTATGCTTTTCGGTCGAAAAAATACTCGACAAAAATGCATTTCGGAAATTAAAATATGTATAAATAACGAGTACATTATGTATACGGATGTTACCAAGAATCTTGGGCTGTATCTGGATTCGGAGTTGCGTTTTGATGTACATGTTAATAATATTATTAAAAATGCGTATGCTGGATTGAGGCTTATATACTGCAGTCGCAGTATGTTGAACTATAAAACTAAAAGTATGCTCTGCGATGCATTAGTGTTATCGCACATGAACTATTGCGATGTAGTGTATGGGCCCTGTTTGACTGAGTACAACCGAACCAGATTACAAAGAGTTCAGAATGCCTGCGTTGGTTTGTGGCCTGCGACGACGAGACCATGTCACGGGGTGTTTACATTCACTTGGGTGGTTAAATACTAGACAGCGGAGAACTTTACATTACTCTCGATTGTGTCTAGGAATTGTAAAAAATAGTACCCCAACTTACTTACATAATAAAATTCATTACCGGAGAGAAATTCATAATAGAAATACGCGCGGTAAAGTACTTACTGTCACTCCGATGCATAGGACAATGCAATTTCGGGGATCCTATACATATGTTGCGTCAAAGGTTATTAATTTCATGTTACAGAATGCATTGGACTCTGTGCTTAAAGTCAATATATTTTTAAGGGAGAACATTACGTTTTCCATTAAAATATAAAGTCATGTTAGATATTATTGCTTGGATCAAACACCATCGCGATCGTTGTATGAGATACGTCATTATTATAATTTGCTGTTTTATTTACTTATAGTTATAATTTTGTTATAAACTGAGCTGAGCACGTTCTTTGTTTTGTGTTATAATTGTAAGTTGGGTGGCAGGGAAGACCAGTTCTGCAGGGGTTTGCTTACCTGCACAACTGATTGCTGACCTTTTCTGCTAGTGTTATTGTTATTGTTATTTATTTTACGTAAAATATGTAATTTCATTGTGTACCTACACTGCAGAATAAATCTATTATTATTATTATTATTATTATTAAAGATGTGGAAAATTGCATAAAGGAATGGTTGAAGCATTCGCCGCAAAGGTTAAAGTTGCAGAAGAAGTCAAAATAAAAATATTCATATTTTTAGTTATTAAGCACTTGAATAGGTATGTATAAAAGAAAGAGGAAGGAAATCGTTGGACCTAGGCAAATGTACAGACGAGTAGCTGAGGCCACTGCATCTTCTGTTCGTCAATTATGTTCGGGACAAGATACTCAGGTGAGTGTCATTACCCAAGATTGTTCAAATCCTGTGGACTTTAATGCAATAACAGAAGATGCAGTAATTGGGTCATTCAACACTAGTTCAAATGCGGATGGTTGTATTGTTAATATAGAAAATGAGGCAAACACAGCAGCTGATGCACAAAACGAAAGTGAAAGTATTGGTTTATCAGAATCTAATTTAGAATGTCACAATTTAAAAGTAAGTTTTACTAACAAAGGCGAGGATAAAAGTGAGTTGGACCTTTTCAATAAATTAAAAATATGGGCTACTGATGGTAGGGTTCCTCATAGTACAGTTACCAAATTATTACATATTCTGCACCCCTATCATCCAGAATTGCCACTTGATAGCCGTACTTTATTGCAAACACCTGTTGCACTTGAAGTAAATAAATTTGATAATGGCGAATTCTATTATTTTGGTCTTTTAAAATGTCTTCAAAAGTTTATTGATCTCTACCCCAATTTTTCAGAAACCAACTTTAATCTTATATTTAATGTGGATGGGATTCCTATTTTCAAAAGTTCAAATTTACAGTTTTGGCCCATTTTAGGGAAAGTGTTTAATTTAAAATTTAGCAGCCCATTTGTAATTGCGGTCTTTTGTGGTTCTTCAAAACCTCCCCTCGACTTGTACCTAAACGATTTTGTTAATGAAATGAGCAATTTGTTAAAAAATGGGTTTAGTTATAATGGCAAACATTTTACAATAAAAGTACACTGTTTCGTTTGCGATGCTCCTGCACGAGCTTTTTTAAAACGCATCCAATCCCATTCAGGCTATTCATCTTGTGAAAAGTGCACTGCCCCTGGTGATTACAAAAATGGAAGAATCATTTTCAAAAATTTATTGTCTCAGCCTCGAACAGATGAATCATTTCGAATGCAAACAGATGATGACCATCACCACGGAACATCGCCATTGTTAGATTTAAATATTGGATTAGTGACCAAGTTCCCCATCGATTACATGCATAACGTTTGTTTAGGAGTTGTTCGAAAGTTATTAATAGCATGGACTAGTGGACCTTTACATGTACGAATGTGTAGTAAGAATGTTCAAATGATCTCTAAGAGATTAGATAATCTAAAAAAATATATCCCTGAAGAGTTTAATAGGAAACCGCGTTCACTCTTAGAAATCATGCGTTGGAAGGCTACAGAATTCCGAACATTTCTTTTGTATGTAGGCCCTATTGTATTACGCAAAATTATTGATGTTGCTATTTACGAACATTTTTTACTTTTGCACAGTGGTATTACATGTTTTGTGTCAGACACATATATTACTGAAATGGGAATAGATTTTGGAGGGGAGTTTTTAAAGACTTTTGTTCAACATTCTAAAAATATATATGGTGATGAATTTCTCATATATAATGTTCATAACTTGATACACTTAAAATCTGATGTGGCATTATATGGGATGTTGGATAATTTTTCGGCATTTTCGTTTGAAAATTATCTAGGCTATTTGAAGCGACTAATTAAAACTCCTAAGCCTCTACAACAACTGTGTAAGCGAATAAGTGAAACCGGATATAAACCTACTATTACAATAAATACTGGACTTTTTGAAAAACATAATAATAATAATGGACCTCTACCTTTTGATATGCGATATTATTCACAATTTAAAAAGATTCAATTGGAATCTTATGTCATTAAAATTAATTCTTACAGTAGTGCAAATTCATTTTGCTTAATGAAAGAAAATTGTGTTGTTAAGGTAGAAAACATCATTCAAAATAATTCAAATGATGAAGTTTTTATTCTTGGTAGGAGATATTTGACATATGAACCATTGTATTGCTATCCAATTGATTCTCAACAACTCCACATACATATGCTCTCGAATTTATGCACCAATGCGGAAATCTGGCCCATTTCTTCAGTGCAAGCGAAGTGTTTAGTTTGCCCTTATGATATAGACATGTCCACCTCTGAAGCTACTCGTGTTGTATCAATGCCCTTGATTCACTCATTGTTTGAGTAGCCACTTCCTATATGTTAATGTATGCACATTTAGTATTTTTAGAAGTACCTATTATAATAAAAATGACTATTATATTATAGCATGGAATGCTTTTTTAAAAATAAATATTGTTGAAACAAATGTGCTTTATTTAGCAGAATCACAATCAGAGAAAAGTCAAAGATGTTTTTATTTTTAGATTATAACCTAAAAATAAAAACATCTTGCCTTCTCTACAATTGTGAAAGAATGTTACTATAGATTTTGTTCTAAATACGTGTTGATGACGGCATCAAAAGTACGTAATTTACACGTCACGTGAGACGTGTATTTTACGTAAATAAATTACGTAATCGGTCTGTGACATTACCACGTATTTTTTACGTCGAAAATACGAGAAATTTCACGTAAAAAGAACGACATTAATCACCAATAAATGATGTAAATAATACGTGTCACTGCTACCTAGGAAGTGGCAGTACTCAGAACCGATTAGCCACGGAAACGCGAACTGGTATACAGAGTTACTATTGGTATTTTTTATACAAATTGGTGATAAATAAACATGATTTAATCGTTGGTTTGATAGTTTCGTATGTATTATTATTTCTTTTTGTGTAGGTATCTTTAGTAGGAATGTATTTCATGGAATACTCACACTGCCGGCCATTGTTCAATTGACCTTGTCAGTTAGTGCTTGATAAATTGGTGTCTACGTAGTCCGAATTTGCTTGGAATTCTTCATAATCTCTCACTCTAGATGGTTTATCTAGATCTATGGGGGGAGAAGAGTTGCCTGGTACATTTCCTTCGCATTTTATTTTTCAAATATTTTCTTCACTCCCCCTTACGACTCGCTGGCACCAAGCCATTCATTTCCTTACCACGCTCAATTTGCGGATATGGCATATGTCGCGGCCCAGCGCGATGGCATAGCGGTGAAACGTCCCTAATTTTGCCTACCAGGGACGCATCCTCACGACAGTTGATTAAATCCTGGGAGAGGCGGCGACACCAGGTATATGTCAAAGTTTCATGTTTCAATTGGGAGATGATGGAATGGTGTTTAGGATGGTATGTGTGCGAGGAAGAACGATGTTTGGCAGCAACTTATGAGCCGCCTCTCCTGCCCATTGACCGACCGACTTCTTCAGGACGGGAGTAATTCAATCTCTGAAACCCACAAGGGGTAAACTATTATTATGGTCGGTGTTTCTTGTGAGAACTCAAGTGTAGCGTCACCCGCCAAGCACGACCCGAGCACGTGATTGTAGCGTGCTCGACCGGTCCGTTACAGCCCCTAACACAATAGAATATTTTTGGTTGGAATGTGGAAAAACCGACCTGAGGGAATAAACAATCCGAGGCCGGCAGTTACGCGCCGACCTCGCATACAATAAGGCTTGCTAATAAACAAGTTTCAACGTCCATTCTTTTCATCTTTTTCTCGAAATACTTAGCCCCACAAATTGGTGACCCCGACGTGATTATCGCGTAAAGTGCGGCAGGATATTTCGCGGAAAGGACATTCAACGCCAGTGCGCAAGGAAACATGGCCAACGACGGTGAAAGTTCAACGCCAGCCCTCATGGTATCGGTAGATCGCGTCGCGATGCGCTTACCGGAATTTTGTGCGTCCGATCCGGAAATGTGTTTGTTGGAAAGAAATTTCGCTGCGGCAGGGATCACGGCAAACGGCACGAGGTTTGATTATGCGGCTGGCGCGCTCCCTCCAAAATACGCTCTAGAGGTACGGGACGTGCTCCTTAATCCACCGACTACAGCTCCGTACGACAAACTGAAGAGCGAACTCACACGAAGACTTTCCTCGTCGCAAGAGGATAAAATCCGTCGCCTCCTAGAGAGAGAAGAGTTAGGGGACCGTAGACCTTCCCAATTCCTCCGCCATTTACGCCAACTTGCGGGACCGACTACGGACGACCAACTTTTAAGGACACTATGGGTAAGCCGCATGCCCAGAAATATACAAATGATCCTGGCCACCCAGAAGAACACTCAGCTCGACGAGGTGGCAGAGTTAGCGGACAGTGTCATTGAGCATGCGGCGCCCAACGGCCAGATCGTACCAGTCCACGCGAGACAGGACGGCGCCGTGGATTCCCTTGACCAGAAGCTAAACCAAATTGCCAAATCGTTGAAACAAGAACTGATGGAAATTATGCGCAACGAAATCGCGGCCCTACCAGGACGAGTCCCATTTTCACGAGACACCGGATATGAAAATCGACGACCCAGGTCGCGCTCACGAGCCCGCTCCGTCAGTCGTGGACCAGGGAAGAAAATTTGTTGGTATCATTGGCGTTTCGACACCGACGCCAAAAAATGCGACCCTCCCTGCTCGTTCCAAGCGGGAAACGAGGGGGGCGATCGCTAATGGCAACCAGCGACAGTGGCCCCGCGACGAGCCGCCTGTTTATAACCGATCGCGAATCCAAAATACAATTCCTTGTGGACACCGGTGCCGATCTATGCGTGTTCCCAAAACAACTCGTTGGTAAATCTTGCGAAAAATCGGACTACGAACTTTCCGCGGCAAACGGTACGATCATTAATACTTATGGAACGTTATTACTAAATTTAAACCTCGGGTTAAGACGCGATTTCACCTGGCAATTTGTAATCGCCGACGTTTCGCGACCCATTATCGGCGCTGATTTTCTTGCCTACTTCGGGCTATTAGTGGACGTAAAAAACGGCCGTTTGCTCGACCAGAGCACGAACGTGATCTCTAAAGGTCAGGTGACAACGTGTGACGTTCCCTCCATCAAGACGGTCTGCGGCACATCCGCCTATCACCAAATCCTTCAAAGTTTCCCAGACATCACTCGACCCGTCGGCACGTTCCGTGAACGTAAGCACAACGTCCAACATCAAATTAAGACGACTCTCGGTCCACCTGTCAGCAGTAAACCACGCCGCCTCGCACCGGAGAAGTTAAAAATTGCGAAGAAAGAATTCGACACCATGTCGAAGATGGGATTAACGAGGCCTTCTTCCAGTCCATGGTCATCACCATTACACTTGGTGGCCAAACAAAATGACGAATGGCGTCCCTGCGGCGATTACCGCGCCTTAAACGGGCGCACGATACCAGATCGATACCCCGTTCCACACTTGGAGGATTTCGCTCAGACGCTCCACGGAAAACTGATATTTTCCAAAATCGACCTGGTACGCGCCTACAATCAAATTCCGGTGGCGGAAGAGGACGTTGAAAAGACGGCTATAATTACACCGTTCGGCCTTTACGAGTTCCCGTTCATGTCGTTTGGGTTATGCAATGCCGGCCAAACTTTTCAGCGCTTCATCGACCGTGTTCTGCAAGGATTGGATTTCGCCTACGCGTACTTGGACGACATTTTAGTCGCGTCGGAAAACGAGCACGAACATAAGGAGCACCTACACCTCCTATTTACACGTCTCCAGGAGTACGGGATAGTTATAAATCCATCCAAATGCGTATTCGGACGGGAAACCGTCGAATTCTTGGGCTATCGCGTATCACACAACGGTACATCACCACATCCGGCGAAAGTAGAAGCGCTCATGTCTTTCGCAAAACCCGAGACGGCGAAGCAATTGAGGCAGTTCCTAGGTATGATAAACTTTTATCGTAGATTTATTCCAAGGGCTGCCGAAATTCAAGCTCCATTGCACAACTTGCTACACGGCAAAATTAAAGGTAACAACCCCGTAACCTGGACAACGCAGGCCGAGGACGCTTTCAACGCCTGCAAACAGCAATTCTCGAGCGCTACGCTACTCGCACATCCTAAGAATAACGCGTCTTTAGCGATTGCTTCCGACGCGTCCAACACCGCAGCGGGAGCTGTCCTACAACAGCGCGTCAACGGAGAATGGCAGCCGTTAGGATTCTATTCCAAAAAGTTGAGCCCGACACAAACTAAGTACTCCGCATACGACAGAGAACTACTGGCAATATATATGGCCATCAAACACTTCAGGCATATGGTGGAAGCAAGGAGTTTTACGATCTTTACAGATCACAAACCGATCACCTTCGCTTTCCACCAAAAGCTCGACAAATGCACGCCGAGACAATTCCGTTATTTAGATTTTATCGGACAATTTACCACGGACATACGGCATATACCCGGGCAAGAAAACGTGGTGGCCGACGCCCTCTCGCGGATCGACGAAATGGCCTCAACAATGGAATACCAGGCACTCGCAGACTCCCAAGAGACGGATGAAGAATTGGAGAAGTTCATAGAGTCCGAATCCGGTCTGCAACTAAGGAAAATATCGCTTCCGGGAAGTAGCAAGGAAGTCTACTGCGACGTTTCGACGACCCGAGCCAGACCGTTCGTCACACCTGCATTTCGTCAAGCAGTGTTCAACTCGGTACATCAGCTGTCGCATCCGGGAATTAAAGCCACTGTTCGCCTCGTTAGTCAGCGGTTTGTATGGCCGAAAATAAAAGCAGACGTCGCAAGAATGGCACGAGCGTGCATCCAGTGTCAGCGCGCCAAAACCACCAGGCACGTATCCGCACCCCTGGGCAAGTTCGACTTTCCGTCACGGCGCTTTGAGCACGTCCACATCGATATCATCGTGATGCCTGTCTCGGAAGGGTGCCGATATTGCCTAACGTGCGTCGATAGATTCACACGCTGGCCGGAAGCATACCCAATGGAAAACCAGGAAGCCGCTACCGTTGCTCGAGCTTTTTACACCGGCTGGGTATCAAGATTCGGAGTGCCACTGAGAATTACCACGGATCAGGGACGTCAATTTGAGTCGAATCTGTTCAAAGAAATTTGCAATGTGACAGGTTCAATTCACCTAAGGACAACCGGATATCACCCTCAATCCAACGGTATGGTAGAGAGGCTACATCGTCAACTTAAATCCGCCATAAAGTGTCACGAAACACAAACGTGGACCAAAATCCTCCCGTCGGTACTACTTGGAATTCGAGCGGCCTGGCGAGAGGATATTCAGGCAACATCGGCGGAAATGGTACTCGGTGAAAATGTACGTCTGCCCGGAGAATTTTTATCGACAGCCACTGGACCACAACACCACGAATCCGAAATTGTCCAGGAACTACGGCAGCATTTCCAACAACTACGCCCTGCACGGTGAGAAACGAACCTTTATCTTCAAGGACATGCTATCCGCAGAGCACGTCTTCATACGTCACGACGCAGCTAGGAATTGCCTGCAATACGTTTACGACGGTCCGTTCCAAGTGGTAAGCCGGGACGCTAAGACGTTTGTTGTCAATGTAAATGGCAAAAACGTCACTGTGTCAATAGATCGTCTCAAACCAGCCTACACCCTCACCAACGACAACCCTGACAACTCGCCAATACCAGCTACACCCGCCCCTAGAGCACCGGAAAACACGCCGGAAGGCGCCGTCCAAGAAAGAAGGACATCCAACAGGAAAGTGCGTTTTCCCGATCGTTTTCAAGCGGGTTTGGTGGAAGTGTGGTGAAATAGCCGTGACGAAGTGACAATTCGCAGATTTTTTTTGACTATGTTGTATATATGTACATATGTGTATTATTCTAGTTCTAAGTTTCAAAACCTGTATTATTTTAAACAGTATCGTTTGTGTCACTTACTATTTCAAATTTTTGTATAAACCAAAATTCTGGCAAGGGGGTGTTGTAGCGTCAC